TTGGTCTCTGAGAATTAAATCTATCTTACATACAAAAAATACTGAAAAAGTAGACCTAGTCGACCAGAACATTGACTAGAGGAAAGAAATCTAAAAAGTAAGCATAGTATACAAGATGTAATCTTAGAGAAGCAACACTTGTAAGGGAGAAGAGGATTAAATGAGGGAAGAGGTAGCTTCTCAGCGTCATGGGATCAAGCCCCTGTGAGGTTCTGCACTCAGCATGGAGTCTGCTTGTCCCTCTCCCTTTGCTCCTCCCACGGTTTGCTCTCTCTCTCTCTCTCTCTCTCTCTCTCTCTCATAAATAATAAAAGTCTTCTAATTTTTTTTTAAAGAAGAATGTTGGAGAACAGGAAGGTGTAAGAGATGATGATGTTAGCTATTGCCAACAGATTGAATTCACCTAGAGATATTGTGAGGAGATTTTTTGCTTGGCAAGAGCAAAAATACAAAGAAAAAGAAAGCTATATCATACAACCAGAATAGGAGATACATCCTTTTGCTCCCATACAAAATTTCCCAGGAGTTTGGGGGGTCACAACTTAGCGGTGAAAAAGATCTAGGAATGACAAATTCCAGAGAAAAAAATACATGGGAGATTGGAGCTTGGAACTGAAAGAGACTATAGGATCATATATTAAAGTTTCACACTACAGTGACCCCATATATCCCTAGAAATGAGAGGAGGAGAAGCCACTTGGGTTCTGGTTGATCTATTCATCCTTCAAGGACAAACTCAGTTATGCTGGAATAATTGCACCTGGTCATTTGCTTCAAGAAGTAGGGAATATGAAACCAGAAAAAGAAAAATCATAGGATGGGGGCACCCAGGTAGCTCAGTTAGTTAAGCAGACTCCTCACTGAGCAGGAAGCCTGAACCAGGTCCTTGATCCCAGGACCCTGAAATCATGACCTGAGCCAAAGGCAGATGCTTAACCCACTGAGCCATCCAGGCAACCCAGAATAACCTAATTTTAAATGGAAGAAATTGCTTAGCTTTTGATTATTATAACCTATATGATATTGTATCTGTGGTGTTATGGGAGTTTCATGTCTCTGCTGAACAAGGTACCTGCTGTCTCCTTAGAAAGAGAGGAGGTGGGGCATTTGAGCGTCTGCCTTTGGCTCAGGTTGTGGTCCTGGGATCGAGTCCTTCATCGGGATCCCCACAGGGAGCCTGCTTCTCCCTCTGCCTTTGTCTCTGCCTCTCCCAGTGTGTCTCTCATGAATAAATAAATAAAATATTTGAAAAAAAAAGAAGAGGTGTTCATGGATATGTGCAGTAGTCCTTGACAAAAAAAAAATAATGGTTTCATTTGTTTTGTTCACTTTTCTTATTTTCCTTCCTTCCTTTTTTTTCTTTGCAATGGCTGAAGGTGCTATGTGGTATCTTTTCATTTGCTCATTCCCAATGTAGTCAGTTCTGTATATCTCTGGTATATATAGTGTGTGAATTCACATGGAATCCTCTTCCAGATCATCTGAGAGCTGTTCATTCTCTTCTTTGAGGTATAATTTAAGGACTTGTTATGTTTTTAACCACTTTTCTTTAACTTGGGAGTGTGGGGCAGATGGAGAAGAGGATTTTGTGTGTACCTCATATTTGATGAACAGGGTCTTGTGCTTTTTCCTGGGATTTTGTTTTATGTGTTGAGTCAAAATTCACTCCACCTACTCAAGAGAGGAAGTTATGCCCATTTGGGTAGTCTTAGAATTCAGCTCACTGCTAGAATTGGGTATGGAGCTCTCCTTAAATTGGAGTTTATGGGTCTGGAAACTTGGATAGAAAGTTTATTGTCACTAATCTCTAAATTAAAATTTAACATTACCTTCAAGTCAGAATCTTAGTAACTGATCATGTTGAAATATGTAATAATCTATGACTTTCTTATCAACAGAATCACATATATTTTCCTAACATATAAAGTTGTACATATGTCAAAAAGGTTCTTAGGGTGTAATGGAGTACTCATCATGAACATTTATAACCATCACTACTTCAAATTATAGTAATTATTAGGTCTGCTACTAGATCCTGTGACTTAATTCACTAATAAATCACAAATTTATTTTAACTTTTTATTTCAATAGTTTATTATAATGTTTAGTCATATGCATTTTATGCAGTTAGAAACATTATTCTAAGAAAGAATCTAATTCTTCATCTGGCCACCTAAATGATCTCTGATCCAAAAAAGGGGATTAGGAACATTTACATTCTAGAGAGTCAGCACTGGTTGTATGTAATATCTCTTCTTAATCTCTTCCACATTTGTAATATCTTCCTAATGGTGATTTGTAGTCTCAGTCATAAAAGGAAGGGGAATATAGATTTGTCCTCAGCCTCAGTCTGTTTACCTCTAAAATGATGGCATTAGTAAGAATTCCCACAAGTTTGTAAATACAAATTTTTATCACTACCATATTTTGATGTTAATTTCTTGGATTAAAATTTTTTTGTTTTATTTTATACATTTATTATATTTTATTTTTTGTACTTAGATCAATAATTCTGTAATTTGTGTTTATTTGTCAACCTTACTGGTAAATCAGGTTAACATTTTTGTTTCTTTCTTTCAATAGTATGTAAACGGACACTAGAGAACTTGTTGGGGTGAGAAGGGATGAGGAGTTCTATGAGAGAGTGAATATGCAGAGTTGGGAAAACACAAATAGAAATAAAACTTAGGGGAAGAGAAAATGGAGAGGGAAAGGAGAACCTTTCTGAGTTTTAAATTTTATCACTAAGAAAGTGATAAATTGGATTAGATATGCCTCACTACTATTAGAGATCTGCATTATTTTTCTGGGATTTTCTGTATTTTGACAATATCCAGTTTATTTAATATGCTAGGTAGGAAATTCTAAGGTGTTTAGGCGTAGAGTAGGCCTAGAAAACTTCATGTCCTTTATTTTCATATAATCTAAGTGAAGAAAATTATAAGAGTTCCTTCAATTCTTTACTAATACAGGAATAACCAAGACTACATAAGAGTTTCCATCAATGACACTCACCAATTCAATCATTAGTATGGTCATTGCAATCTTATGGGTTTCTAATTATATAAATTCTTTTGGATTTATTAATTGATATTTCTATGAAGGCCTTTCCCTTTTTTACTACTTTTTGTTTTTTTTTTATTTTTTTATTTATTTATGATAGTCACACACACACACACACAGAGAGGCAGAGACACAGGCAGAGGGAGAAGCAGGCTCCATGCACCAGGAGCCTGATGTGGGATTCGATCCCGGGTCTCCAGAATCGGGCCCTGGGCCAAAGGCAGGCGCCAAACCGCTGCGCCACCCAGGGATCCCCCTACTTTTTGTTTTATTGTCTTATTTTTGTATCAGTAAGGACTTGTAGATTTTCATAAACTACCCATTCTGATGTTCAAGATGTCCTAAGTTTGTGCAGAAGAATCTCTTTCCTTTTGACACATTTTTGTAAATTTAGGGAACTTATTTATTCTGTGGAATACTAAAATATCCTAGGCTTATCCTGAATTTTAGGTACCCTCACCTTGGAATCTGCCATTTCTCCATGAATTCCTGGTTTCTGTCAGTGGAGTGTGATAGAAACCAAATTATTATAGGATAATAGGCATGAACTTTGTTACTTGGATTTCATTGCTTCTAGGCCCATTTGATGGAAAGAATAAGAATAATCTATTAATCAGATCATGTCATTTTTCTCTTCAAACCCTTCCATGGCTTCCTTCCCATTTCACATAGAGAAACAGTTAGACCTTTCAAAGTTGCCTTTAAGGCCTGACAGATTTTGCCTCCTTCCCTTACCCTCTGATACCACCTCTCATGCCTCTGCCCCTTTACCCTCCTTAAACAATGGTCTCTAAACTACAGTTCCTTAACAGTGCCCATACATGCTCTTCTTTCAGAGATTATATTTGACGTTCGCTTTGCCTTAACTTTTTTTCTCATGGTCATATAGCTTGATTACCTACTTCCTTCAGGTTTCTGGTAAATATTAGATTTCTCAGAGTCTGACCTCCATGTATGAAAGGGCAAGCCTCTCCTCCCTCCAGTACCAACACCCTCCTCTGCTTTAGTTTATTCCAAAGCACTGATCATTATTGGATATAGTATGTATTTTCTTGTCCACTGGTTTATGGGAGCAAAATACTCCTAATGAAGAGAGAATTTTTTTTTGTCTGTCACATAGTTTCCCAGAAAATACTATTGATGGACTTACTAAATGAATGAATTTTAATGGTATATTGAGGCTCAGGGATTATTCTGAATGATGGGAGAATAAATAGTGAATAATAAGGGAGTTATCCAAAGGGAAGTCATCTTGAGATCCAACAGAAAGGAGTCAAGGTATGCAGTAAATTGGAAAGATAATATGTAGATTAAAATTATAGTGAAAACTAAAAATGAGAAATCATTTTGTCCCTCCCTTTCTGCCATCCCCACCCAACTGCCACCCCATCTGACACCTCCATAGGACAGATCTTATTTTTGATGATTCTAACAACAGCTAGAAGTCATATGAAAATACTACTTCTTGTTTCCTAGCGACTAAATTCCCTTCAAATTCTGTTAAAGAAATGTCCATTGCTTGTACAACTCTCTTGAGTATTAAAATGTATAAACTGAGGGGATTTACACATTCAACCATTATTAGACACTACAACTTTAAAATAAGTTTGATTAGGAGATTTCAGTTTAGAAGGACAATTTACAGAAAGGAAGGTTTCTGTTGTATATATATTTAGAGGGTGTAAAAGTGTAGGGTAGGAAGTCTGTTTCTTGAATGGCTAGACTAGACATAGTAAAAGAACACTGGGTGTTGGGAGTAGGTAGGAGCACCTAAAGAAGTAGTGAGGGTCACCAAAACCAAATCCTTCAGATATTTTACTTTCAGATGGCCCATGTTTCGAAACTAATTGGTTCCTCTTAAAAACAAGAAGAAATAAAACTTCAGATAAGATCTATGTTCAAAGCTGCCATTTCTTTTCAATTAAAAGTGCTGTTTCCTATGCAGACTGAGAAAATAACCCACTATTTAGGGCTTTTTTAAGGGATTCCTTGACATCCTTGTTCCTAAGGCTATAGATAAGGGGGTTAAGCATGGGAATCACCGTGGTATAAAACACAGAGGCCACCTTCTCCTGTATTATGTTGCTGGAAGATGGTTTAAAATACATGAAGATGATGGAGCCATAGAAGACCCCAACAGCTGCAAGGTGGGAACTGCAGGTACTGAAAGCTTTGGACCTGCCTTCAGCTGAGTGGATGCATAAGATGCTGGAAAGAATGAAGGCATAAGAGATAAAGATGGCTAAGGCACATGCAAATACATTGAATCCAACCAAAATCATTACCAAGAGTTCCTTGGTGTACTCTCTTGAACAAGATATATTCAGAAGAGGAAGGATGTCACAGAAGTAATGGTGGATGATATTAGTTCCACAGAAGGATCGACTAGATATGTAGCTGGTGTGGACCAAGGCTCCAATGGCGCCCACTGTATACACACTGGTGACCAGTAGAAAACAGATTCTGTTGGACATGGTGACATTATAGAGCAAGGGGTTACAGATAGCAACATAACGATCATATGCCATTGCTGTCAGCATGTAGGAGTCATCAATACCAAAGAAGCAGAAGAAAAAGAGTTGAGCCATGCACTCAGGAAAGGAGGTGAGATTCTTTTCTGAAACAAAGTTCACCAACAGCTTGGGAATTATGACAGTGGAGTAGCAGAGATCTATGAAAGACAGATTACTGAGAAAATAATACATGGGCATATGAAGCTGAGAACTGATTCTGATTAAAAAGATCAAGCCCATATTTCCCACGATGCAGACCATGTAGATCAGTAGAAACAGGACAAAGAGAGGGAGCTGGAGTCCAGGCTGGTCTGTTAACCCCTCAAGGATAAACTCAGTAACTGAAGAATGATTTTCTGTATCCATTCTCCCACTTGTGATAGACTGAGGGATTCAGAGTAGAGGTTCTTAATAGACAAACATTGCCATCTGATAGAATTTAGTGATCCAAGATCTGATGAATGAGATAATTTCTAAGTGACACAGAATTTCCAGAAACCAAGAGACTAAAACCTATTGTTAGTTGAAGCCTTTTTCAAGATGTTGATGGTTCATTTGGCTTCAGTTTTCATTTCATTACTCCCACTTTTAGACTCTCCGATAAATGTAAACTAACCCTTGTGTTATTCAGTCACCTTTAGAGAAATGCTTTAGAGATGCCACAGACTTTGCTGGTCTTCAGTCTGAAGCAATCTGTGCTCTCTTCAGATGTCTTGGAACTTAACCTTTCCCTTGCTGGTATCCCATGGATTTCCCCTTTGTGGCTTTGGCATCTTCAGTTTGCTCATTCAGTCTTGGACCCCAGTCTCACAGAGCTTTGGTTTCCTCCAAGCTTTCCATCTTCCCTCTGAGTTGCTGGTTTTGACTTTTCTTTTTGCTACCCATGTTATTAATCAGATAGGAGAGGAATGAAGGCATGTTGGAGATGGCAGGAACAGGGCAGTGCTAGAAGGGAAGCTGTTATGATGGGCTGGAGGAAGAGGAGAAGGAAGAGTGGTAACAGCAGGAGTTGCTTACATTTACTGAGTCCCTATCATGTGCCAGCCACAATGTTAAGAACATTTTATTTATGACCTCATTTACACTTTATAACAATTTCATGAAATAGATATGGTTATTATATCCATTTTGTAGATCAACGGAGAGACAAAGAAGTTAAATAAATACATGCCCTAAGTCACCAAACATGAATGCAATGTTATTTTACTATTGTACAAATGAGTTTATGCAAATATTCCAAGCTTACACGGTTCGTAAGTGTTGAAGTCAGAACTCCTATCTCTGTCTGTTTTATTACAAATAAAACAATGTCCCCTATGAATCAATTTTTTTTCTGACATTTTTGTAACTTCCATGCAGCTTTGTTATTCTACTTTTATTATTTTTATTACTGTTAAATCCCTTACTCTGATATTTTCCTCTAAAGAGAAAATTAGAGCAATATGCTGTAGCTTTTGATAAGCATTTAAAGGATGTTATCCTCATGTGTAAGTATGATGATCTTGCTCCTTCAATAGCTTTAAGTTGGAAAACAGAAAGGAAAGATTTGCATGTGCACACTTACACACACACAAACACACATGTCATTCTGTGTTTAAACAAGTCCCATTATCCAATTCCTAAAAGTATGAACTTGTTAGATAATAACCGAAACCGTGTGACCATGCAAATCCTTCCATTTAGCTTTTCAATAGGCCTCCAGTTACAAAGGGTGGAATGATCCAGGGCCAAGGATACTAAAGCTCCATGAGGGCCACAGAACATAGTAGCAAGTACATAAAAATATAAAAGCCCTTTCTAGGTTCCTTGGATGTTATGTGAGCAACTTTTTCTCTACCATTTCCAAAACCAAACCAAAATGTTGCTCTGGTCAAATCAGATTTATCAGTGTTTCACTGATAAATTATAGACCACTTAATGTTTATCTGTAATTTTGCTCTTATTCTTTTGAGCATGGAAAGATGAAAACCCACCTTTTCTCAAAACCAATTTAAAAGTACCATCTGGGGGTGCCTGGTTAAGTGTCCAACTCTTGGTTTTGGCTCAGGTTATGACCTCATGCTCCTGAGATGGAGCCCTGCATTATTAGGCTCTGCCCTCAGTGGAGAGTCTGCTTGATATTTTCTCTCTCATCTCCCTCTGGCCCTGCCCACCACAGTGTCACTGTCACTCTCTCTCTCTCTGAAATTAATCAATAAATAAATATTTTAAAAAGTATCTTCTGCTCTAGCAGTTTTTTGGAGGAATCTTCAGAGTTTCTTTTTGTTATGTCACATGGCTAGGACTTCCAGTACTGTGTTGAATAAAAGTGGTGAGAGTAGAGTGCACTCATCATCAGATAAATGCAAATCAAAACCATATCATCTCATCCCTGTCAGCATGGCTAAAATCAACAGCATAAGAAACAACAGATGTTGGCAGGGAAATGGAGAAAAAAAAGGACGCTCTTGCACTGTTGGTGAGAATGCAAACTGGTGCAGCTGATCTAGAAAAACAGTATGGAAGGTCCTCAAAAAGTTAAAAATAAAACTAGCCTACAATCCAGTAATTTCACTACTGGGTATTTACCCCAAAAATACAGAAACACTAATTCAAAAGAATACATGCATCCTTATGTTTATAGCAGCATAATTTGCAGTGGTTAAAATATGAAAGCAACCCAAGTGTCTATTGATGAATGGATAAAGAAGAGATGGTATCGCTATACAATGGAATATTACTCAGTCATAAAAAAAAACAATGAAATCTTGCCATTTGCAATGACATAGATGGAACTAAAGAGTATAATGCTAAGTCGGTCAGAGAAGGACAAATACCCTATAATTTAACTCATATGTAGAATTTAAGAAACAAAACAAATAAGCAAAGGGGAAAAACAGAGAGAAAGATAAACCAAGAAACAGATTCTTAACTACAAAGAACAAACTGATGGTTACCAGAAAGGAGGTCAGTGAGGGAATGCGTGAAATAGGTGATGGAGATTAAGAAGTGCTCTTGTAGTGATGAGCACTGGGTCATGTATGGAGTTGTTGAATTACTATATTCTATACCTGAAACTAATATAACACTGTATGTTAACTATACTGGAATCAAAATTAAATTAAAAATAAAATAATTTTAAATACCTATATTTGTTTTTATCAACTCATGGATTTTAAAATTTTATCACACAATTCATTAAATCACATTTTATGGCTTAAAAAAATGTCATCCTTCTTGAAACTTTTTCTGATTCCATGTTACTTCTCTTTCTCTGACTTCTTTCTCCTTGAAGGTACTCTGTGACTCACAGCATATAATGTAATTTCTTATAGTATAGTTGTTGTTTAGTCATTGTGAGGTGATGAAGAGCTGAGTTTATTACATCATGTCAAACTGGATTCATTTTTAGGCATGATCCTCTCCTAGCTTTGTGACCCTAAGTTACTTCTCCTATATAAACTCCAGTTTCTTCATCTATAAAACAAATAATTCCTGCTATATATATATATATATATATATATATATATATATATATATATATATGAATCGGTTCATTCTTTCACCCAACAGCTATTTATTGAGAGTCTTCTGTGTTCTGAAGATACATACACTCTCCTAAAGCTTACATTGTAATTGGGGAGGTCAATAAACCAACAAAAATATAGATGCGCAATTTAGATTCAAGCGATGAGACATACTATGAAGCAAATAAAGCAATGTTAGAGCAAAGGCTGATAATTATAGAGGTATTCAAGGGAGGACTCTGAAGCAGTGACGTCTAAGCTGAGTCCTGAATAAACTGAAAATCTGTTAGAGGAGGTCATTGAGAAGATGTGACTGCTGGTTGACACACAAGGTGGAGCCAGGTAATCAGTGGCCCCTGACTCCCAGCCCTGTCTTTGGAATGTTCTGTTCACCACTTCTGGTGGAAGTCATTTTTAAGGATGAAGCCTTAAGAGTTACAAGTTGTTGGGACCATCAGGACAGTAGATGTGACTGAACCCAGTTAAGGTCTCTATATAAATCTAAGATTCCGGCAAGCAAGTACAGAGACACAGTGTCTGGAGGCTGCCTAAGGCAACCCGCATTAGTAAGCTCCTTTTTTTATTAAATGACCATCTACCTATCTGGAGTGGTCTGCTTCTTTCTATCATCTCTCCATGCCCTCTGTGCCCAGGGGCCAGTTTGTGAACCAACAGACAGACAGTTATGCCAGTATCTGCATAAAAGTTTCTTTTTAGGTCAAATGGGTAAAGACAGTCAAAAGGTACAAATTTTCAGTTATAAGTCCTGATCATGTAATGCACAGTACAGTGAACCCTAGTTGACAATACCGTGTCACATATTTGAAAGTTGTTGAGAATAGATATTAAAAGTTCTCATCACTCACAAATGATTTGGTAACTATGTGAGTTGATGGGTGTTATTTCAAATTTACAGTTTAGATAAATATTAAAAACATATACTTGCTTGGGTGATGCCTGGGTGGCTCAGTCGATTAAGCATCCAACTCTTGATTTCGGCTCAGGTCATGATCTCAGGGTTGGGAGATCAAGCCCCGCATGCTCAGCATGGAGGCTGCTTGGGATTCTCTCTCCCTCTTTCATCTCCCCTCCCCCGCCACTCCAAGATGTACACATACACACACACACTCTCTCTCTCTCTAAAAATAAACAAATCCCCAAATATATCCTTGTGTGGACTGATAGTAACAGAAATAATTTGATTTATCTTTCCTTGACAAAGTATTAAGTATACACACACACACACACACACACACACACACACACCAGAAATAGTCTCATAAATACAGAGGACAAACTAGAGGTTACCAGAGGGGAAAGGAGTGAGAGAATGGGCAAAATTGGTGAAGGAGATTAAGAAGTAGATTCAAAGATTCTTCAGCTGACTCCTAATACAATATGAACTCTGAGTGATGGTGTCTCTGAGGAGTATGGGTGTTTATAGAATTTTGTGGATCAGAATGTTTAAGCCTCAAAAAAAAAAATCAATGTTCTTTTTATTAGAATAGGTTTATCTGGAATAGGTTTCTCATCCTAGAATTACAACCAGGAGAGAAAAAACAGGGAGAATAAATAAATAAAAATGTCAGAGACAATGCCATAAGTTTTTTCCTTTTATTTTTAAGGTTAGTTTTGGGGACTCTTGTGAATCCACTGTTGGAAAAGCATAAAGTAGGAAAGGACATAATTTTTGACTCTGAGTATAGCGCTTTAGGAGGTGGGCTAGGAGTCAGGAGCTAGAGTTTTTATTCATAGGTTGACCCATTGCTAGCCCAGCGATGTTGGATAGCAAGTAGGTTAATGCCAATGTCCTTTTAGTTAAGGAGGAATTCCTGACTATGCCTTGTAATATTACATTATTAATGCATG